CCACCCCCACTCGGGTCTTACCCCACAGCCCGTGGCCCACCAAGGCTGACCAACACCCCTCATTGCACAGAACACCCATGGGTTTCCAAGTCCAAGAAGAAACAAACGCGTAAGTCAAGGTGAAGGTCTCCAATATTTCTGTCCACATGAGCCATCGGTGTGGGACAGACTGGACAGCCAGAGCCTCTGGGAAGGGCTGGTAGGGAGGTCAGCTGTGCAGGGAGCAGGCCTGGTTGGCACCCACCACAGCTCCCACTAGCTCCAACCAAGGAGGGCGCAGACCCAACGCTCCCCATCTGCTGTCTGCTCTTATTTTGGCAAAAAAAAGAAACACCAAAAAACAAAAGAACCTCAAAACAAAACAAAACAGCTTCAAGAAAAGGAAGTAAACTTCAGGATCGTGAAGAGCAGAAGGTGCAGCTGCCTCCAGGCCATCCCAGCAGATCACCTGGACAAGCCTGCTGCTCTGTCCTGGACGTGTGGCCACAGCTGACCCTGAGGGGGCTCCTGTCAGCCACTCTGTCTTCCAAGGTCAAGGGTGTGAGGGTCCATGGGGAGGCACTACAGTTTAGTGCCAGATGGGACCGTGTGGCTGCCTGCTCTTTGGCCGGGAAGGGCCTGACACAGACTGGGCTCTGAGAGGTCACCGCACACACCCAGGGGCCCTCCAGAGTCAGCAGGGGATTGAGAACATGCCCCCATAGTGGGCATGCCTGGACTTGGGGCCGGGCTCCCAAGGGCTCAGCCAGTTGGCAGGAGCACAGGTCTAGGCTGGAGGGGACAGGACCCCACCCCCAGGACATTCTGCAAAGGCTGCAGGGTGGGTGTTTGCTGGGTGGTGCTCAGTGGTCTGCCCAACACATCCTGGGGCACTACCTGGGCCTGTGTCTGTCCAGGGGATGGGGGAGCTCCTGCCCACTGCTGGGAGGGCTCCAGGTACCGCCTGACAGCAGGGGACTCCGACCCCCACTGGCTGACAGCCAGTAGCAGACCTGCTATCACAAGTGTCCGTGCAGAGTGGGGCACAGAAGGGAGCCTGCTAATCCTCCAGCTGCTTGGCCAAAGTCACAGAAATCACCCACAGAAGTCAGAAGTTTGTGCAAACTCACTCGCCGACCAGCCTAAGAGGACAGGAGGGTCCTAGGCCTGGCAGGCGAGAGCTGCTGAGAACAGTGAGGGCTGAGGGCTGCTGCAGGGTCAGCACGAAGGCAAGACGCAGGGGGACACGGGCCAGGAGGCAGTGCCCTGCAGGGGCTCCTAGTTCCTTAGGGCGGCCAACCTGCAAATCACAACAGAGCTGCCATGAGGGAAGGCAGGGCCTGTCAGCCGCCTACCTGCCCTCTTGTAACCCTCTCCACAGTCCAGCTTCTCAGGGCTACTCTGAGCTAACATACGTGAAAGGCTGTGGAAACAGCCGTTACAACCCTTTCTACAGTGAGCTGTGAACAGTGAGCAACACGCCCGACACACAGTGCAGACGTGAACAAGGGGCAGGAAGAGCCGCTCAGCTGGGCCTTGATGCAGAAGGGGTTTCACTTAAACTTAGGAACCTCGACACAGAACCACCCTCCCTGCTGGCACCTGGATTGTGCAGCAGCATGGGAGTGGGGCTGAGTCAGGCGTCTCGTCAGAAGGACCAGAGGACCAGGGTTGAAGCTGCATGTCACAAGCTGTCCTCCAGCCACCTCCAGCCCAGAGCTTTCCTCTTGCACAGAAGCAGCCTCAGAGCATGGGTGACCCACCCACCTGCGTGACAGCTGGTCCTCTTGGCTGCGCACGGAGCTCTCGCCCACGGCAGACGCGCCTTCAGGCAGCTGGCTGAGCTGGTCCAGCACCTCCAGGCCATTCTCTTCTGCAATCTGCACGATGAGACTGTCCACCTGCTCCTGCGGCGTGGTCAGCGTGGTGGCCGAGCTCATGGAGTCCTCCATCACCTGAAGGGGAGGGGTGACAGGTTCTGGGCAGTCAGGCCCAAGCCCAGGAGCCCCCACTGCAGCCTTACAAGGGTCACCGGCCCCCAACATGGTCACCACCTAACCACATTTCTTGCTCGCTCTCCACTCCAGCCTCCTCACTCTGCTCTCTGCAGCACGTGTCCGGCTCTCTCTAGCCTCTGGGTGTTGCGCAGAGAGTGTTTCTGGCCACCCCACCGGGAGAGGTGCGGACACTCCAGCCCTTCTCTGCTCGAGCTCTATGTGCTATAAGGGCCCCCAACAAGGGGTCAGGTACCCTGGAGGTGGCCCCACAGGGGCTCAGCACAGAGGACACTGGCTGACACTAGGAAGGAAACAATGTGTGGCAGCCACGAGGCACCTTTCCGACGCGCTGCCCACTTGCCTGGACATGGGTTGACCTACCGAGGTGTGCACGTCCAGGTTCTGCACCTGCTGCTCAAACCTGTCCATCACCGCAGACACCTTCTGCAAGTCCATGCTGCTCAGCGCTCGGTCCAGGGCTTTGGTCACCTGCGCCATGTTCTTGGTCACCTGGCACAGGAGGGAGCGAGGAGACAATGGGACTGAACAAAGGAACGTCCCCACCAGGGACAGGTCTCCTCTACCAGGCCAACAAGATTCAGCCCTGGCTGAGCCAAGCTGTGCTCAGGCAGGCTAAGCCTCTCAGGACCCATAGGCCCTCCCTTCCCAGGTCCTCGGAAAAGGCCATCACTGAACAACAGACACAAGGAGACCAGGCTGCAGCACTTAGGAGAGCCCAAGGACACTGGAGCTCTCTGGGGCTATGTGTTCTCTTTGGCATGCACTTGCTGTGTGGAGGGAAACCCCCATACCTGAGACCCAAAGGACTCTGATGTAACCCCCTCCTTCCAACCTGGACTTGGCACGCACATGAGGCCTGGGCCAGGAACTCACCCCCTTCATGGTCACAGCTGTCTGCACCTTNCCAGCCCTTCTCTGCTCGAGCTCTATGTGCTATAAGGGCCCCCAACAAGGGGTCAGGTACCCTGGAGGTGGCCCCACAGGGGCTCAGCACAGAGGACACTGGCTGACACTAGGAAGGAAACAATGTGTGGCAGCCACGAGGCACCTTTCCGACGCGCTGCCCACTTGCCTGGACATGGGTTGACCTACCGAGGTGTGCACGTCCAGGTTCTGCACCTGCTGCTCAAACCTGTCCATCACCGCAGACACCTTCTGCAAGTCCATGCTGCTCAGCGCTCGGTCCAGGGCTTTGGTCACCTGCGCCATGTTCTTGGTCACCTGGCACAGGAGGGAGCGAGGAGACAATGGGACTGAACAAAGGAACGTCCCCACCAGGGACAGGTCTCCTCTACCAGGCCAACAAGATTCAGCCCTGGCTGAGCCAAGCTGTGCTCAGGCAGGCTAAGCCTCTCAGGCTAAGCCCCTCCCTTCCCAGGTCCTCGGAAAAGGCCATCACTGAACAACAGACACAAGGAGACCAGGCTGCAGCACTTAGGAGAGCCCAAGGACACTGGAGCTCTCTGGGGCTATGTGTTCTCTTTGGCATGCACTTGCTGTGTGGAGGGAAACCCCCATACCTGAGACCCAAAGGACTCTGATGTAACCCCCTCCTTCCAACCTGGACTTGGCACGCACATGAGGCCTGGGCCAGGAACTCACCCCCTTCATGGTCACAGCTGTCTGCACCTTGGAGGCCACTGCGTCCACACGAGACGCCATGCGGAGCCAGTTCACACCTTCATTCTTCTTGCGAATGGCATTCTCCGCATACACACGGGCACACTCTACGTTCTTCTGCTGCAGGGCCTAAAATTATGGGCAATGCCAGCCCTGCTCAAGAGCCTGTCCTGGCCTGTCCTGGGGCTGGTGTGTCTGCTGGTGTGCCCCTTTCACAACCCTGTGCAGGGCTGTTTCATGAAAATGCAGACACCTAGGCCCTAAGGCTGCTCAGCAGCCAGGGTGTCCAGGGCAAGGCCACCAGAGCAGCCCACAGTGGGGGTTAGAAGAGAAAGCCCTAGAAACATGGCCACTTGTCCCCACCACTCCACTCTCCTGACTCACTAGATCTCTTCAGCTCCCTCCTGAGGCTCTCACACCACCACCCACACAAACCCAGAGTGGGCAACGCTGATTCCAAAGGAATCACAGCCGTTGAAGATGAGCACTCAGACCCCCAGGGGGCTCCTGGAAGCCAATGTTTGGGTGAGAAGTTCCCAAATCCAACACTCCTATTCAACAGTTATAACAGAGGCCCCATGGAGAGCAGCCACACCCCTTCCAGCCTCTCCTTCTGTCCCTCCCTGGAGAGGCCTCGCTAGACTCGAGGACCCTGGAAGCCTCCAGCCCTGCCCCTAACCCACAGAAGGATTGCCTCCCCTCTGCCCAGGCTTTGATGCCCAAGCTTCACGGGAAAAAGAGGGCTCAGAGTGGTGGGTCAGAGAGGGACCACCAAAAGGACACTTCCTACACAGTCCGTGAAAAAACATTAAGTTCAGAATGTTGGCAATGAGTAAAAGGCACAGACACACAGGGAGAAAGCACAGGCAGTGCCTGGGGTGGGGGGGCAGAGAAGGAGCCACTGCAGGCCTTGGGCGGGTCCTTCCCCTTCCCTGTGTGGAAGCAAAGCCACAAAAAGAAGACACCAGGAGCAAGGACAGTGGCAGCGGCTGCCTCACCTTCTTCACCTTGGCCTGCTCCGCCTTAGAGTCCTTCTCCGCCTTCTTGGCCAGTTTCTCCAGCTGCTTCGCTGTGAACTAAGCAGAGGCAAGGGTCACACTGGCAAAGCCACCCCCAGCCTGAGGGCTCTCAGGGGCACAGGGCCTTCTCTCAAAGGTCACCCACCAGTTCCTAACCACCCAGCTCATTCCTCAGTGCTTCTAAATCATCGTCTGACACTCCAACCGTTCGTTCTTTCTCCAAACTTTTTAAGCCCACCAGCCCAAACAGCAGTCACATGGAACTAAGTCCAAGTGCTCGATGCGGCTGGTGACAGGCAGTGTGCCTCTAAGAGCCCTCACTGCACATGGCAGGTGGACACTCCCACTCCTGGCTCTGCCAGTGTCTGCAGCCCTGTGTCCTCATTGCTCTGCTGAACTGGGGCTACCCATTCACATGGGACATTCCAGTCAGCACCCCCACCTGCCCAGGCGAGACACCCAAGCTTTCTTCCTCCTCCTCACCAAGCCCTGTACCCTTTACTTCAAAAGTTCAGTGGCTGACTATCCTCACCCCTGCCACATCCACCCTTGCCTCACTCCCCGCCTGCCTGGCCACCAAAAGGTTCTCACAGTCTACCTGCCTCTAGTCCCGTCCCACCCCCTCCTCCTCGACAGCCCCCAAACAGCCCCAAAACAGGCCTCACTTGACCAGGAAGCTGGCACAGCAGCATGCTCAGGTGACCCAAGTCCCCAAGGCCCACAGTCTCCTAACACTGGCCCTGCTAGTGGTATGCCCTCAGCCTGCAACACCCACCCACCTGGGAAGACCCACCAGCCCCTCAGACCCTCCCATGGCCCTGGGTTTCCCCCGTGCACTTGGTACTTGGAACTTTCTGTCACAGAGAAAGGGTCTGTCTGCCTACCTCACACACCTACATTCCTTAAGGGGGGAAAAAAAAAATCCAGATTTTCCTGCCCTGAGAATCTGGCCCTGACCACCTCACATGGTGCCTTCTACACGAGTGCATGTGAACAAAGTGCCCACGCCCTAGCCTTCCCCATCCGTGGCAAAGCACTCTGGCCCAGTCATGCAGAACTAACCAAGAAAGTTAACTGGGGGCATTTAAGAAAAGAGTGGAGCCAGACCGGGCGTCGCTCAGCAGTTGAGCATCGACCTAGGATCCAGGCAATCGGGGTTTGATTCCCGGTCAGGGCACATGCCCGGGTTGTGGGCTCGATTAATGGCTCTCTCATCATTGATGTTTCTATCTCTCTCTCTCCCTCTCCTTTCCTCTCTTTGAAATCAATAAAGATATATTTTTTTAAAAAAAGAAAAGAGTGGCAAAAAAGAAAAAGAAAAAAGAGTGGCAGAAGCTTGCCCTGGATTCACCAGAAGTGCAGACAGCACCCAGACAGGAGGGACACTCAGATGCCCACAAGAGCTGCCTTCAATGGGATTTTAAAGGACCTGAAGTCACAGTTTTAAAAGCTTAGTGGAACATCAAGGGAGAAGTCTCATGCCCAAGTTGTGTTTCTTAAAGCTAACAAACCTGCTCTTTTACAGATGAGCCCAAGAGACCCTTCCCCTCAGCCCTAGACAAAAAAAGAATTAACATGCCATCAAGTAGCTCAGTAATCCCCTTTGCCATCAGCCTGGCTGAGCACTGTGCAGTGGTCAACCAATGTACAATCCATCCCTCTGAGTGCGACTTATAACACAGTCCCCATTTACCAACCAGCAGGATGGGGTTGGGGCAAATAGTCATTCAGTACATACCTTCAATTGGAACAGGGTATCTGCAAAGAGAGGACATGGTTTGAGGATTTTACGAAATGTGACACCCACCCTAGCCAGTTTGGCTCAGTAGTTAAGAGCATCGGCCCTGAACTAAAGGGTCCCGGGTTTGATTCCAGCCAAGGGCACAACATACCTTGGTTGCAGGCTCAATCCCTGGCCCTGGTCAGTTGGCGCACGAGTGGGAGGCGACCAGTTCATGTATCTCTCTCACATCAATGTTTCTATCGCTCTCTCCCTTTCTCCCCCCTTTCCACTCTCTCTGAAAAGTAATGGGGAAAAATATCCTTGGGTGAGGGTTAAAAAACAAACAAACTGTGACAACCAAAACTTCCAAGTAGATTGGGTCACTGAGACCCTCTCGACATGCAGAGCTGGAACAGAGCCCAGGAGTGACCAGGCACTGGAGGGGCCTCAGGAAGATGGGCTGGCACACAGCTCTGCTCCCTTGTTGGCCACAGGGCCTGGGCAACCGCAAGGCCTCCTGAACCTCTGGCCCCTCACCAGTAACACCAGGACAGCACCAGCTGACCTCAAGAGTGAGTGTGTGGCCCGGATCCAGGCGATCAGGGTTCGATTCCTGGTCAGGGGCACATGCCCCGGCTGTGGGATTAATTCCCAATGACTCATCATGGATGTTTCTTTCTGTCTCTCTCTCCCCCTCTCCTTTCCTCTCTCTGAAATAAAGATATACTTTTTAAAAAAAAAGTGTGTGGACAGCACGTGGCCCACAGTGAAAACTCAAGGTGGTGGTTTGTAATTAAAGCAACTTTACAAAGGTTTCTAGCTGAGTACTTGACAGCCTGTATTTTATATACTCTTTCTCCCCCAAAAGTAAATGGATGAAAATCGCAGGGTCATCATAGAGCAGAGCCTCCAGTCAGGCTGAGGTCCTCACCACCCACACTGAGGAGCCAGGGAGGTTTGAGTGTGTTGCTGGTCAACCCCTTGATGACTGAACTTGCTACTTACTCACCAAAACTCAAGGGCCCGGTGATTCTTGGGTGATTCGGGTACATCTTAAAACTATCTCAACTGATTCAATGTCTCGGTTTGGAGAAGGGTTCCTGAAAGGGTTTACCACACTAGCTCAGAAGGAAGACACCCAGTCCTGTAACCAGAATGGGGTTGGGTGTCCCCAGCACAAGCTCAGTGGGGTTTCGCTCAGTGCGGGCCCGGTCCAGGCCACGTCAGCTGTGCCTCTAAAAACCGCAGCCGATCTGGCGCGGGCCGGCAGCGCGCCTGGGGGAGGCAGGGCGGCCGGTGTGGCACACACCCTGAAGCACCCCCCCTCGCAACGGCCCTGCATCGAGGCTTGAGTGGGAGGAGCAGACTCTGAAAGACCAAAACTTTGGTAAGGCGAAACCTCGCCCCGAAGAAGGCGATAGGGCAAGACACTCCCTGAGAGCTGACTGAACTGCCAGCACCTGGGGGGCGATGCTCACTCTCCCAAAGCCGTTTGTGCAGAATTTCCTTCACAAAAAGGACAAGGCTGTGTGGCTTTTCACGTGTCACAAAGTGATTTTCAAAAACCTCCCTATCGCGCCAGCCCTTCGGCGCCCAGCAAGCGCGGGGGGCTCCGCGCGGTCGCCGACCCTCC